AAGAAAGAAAGAAAGAAAGAAAGAAAGAAAGAAAGATGGAAGGAAGGAAGGAAAGAAAGAAAAGAAAAAGTCATCCTAAAGTGGGACCATCTGTATTCTTTCAGGGTGCACTTCACTGAAAGACTTGAGAATGGGCTTCCCCCCCACCTGAACCAGACCCCGAGTTGCCGCCCACAAAGGGCTCCTCTGCTCCCAAACAGCCATGATCCCAGAGGCACACAAACCAACCTGAGAACCCAGCAGCTTCTGGCAGAAATGCCTCTAGACTTAATTACTAAAATATCAGAAATCCAAAATCATATGCTCTTCACCATCAGCAACAGAAAACAAATTATCTAATGATGCCTTTTCCGCAGGTCTGATAGTTGGCGGAAAATTCCAAATAATAAGAGTGAGTGTTCTGTCGAAAAACTGAATGTAATCAAAGCATAGCGGTAGGGCGTTTGCCTTACACAAGGCTGGCCTGGCCAAGACAGGTTTGATTCCTCCGCCCCTCTCAGCAAGCCCGGCAAACTACTGAGAGTATTTTGCGCTCACAGCAAAGCCTGGCAAGCTACCCGTGACAAATTTAACATGCCATACACAGTAACAACAAGTCTCAAAATGGAGACATTACTGGGCCTGCTTGAGCAAATCGATGAACAATGGGAGGACAGTGCTAACAATGCTAATCAAAGTAAAGAGAGAGCAAAGTGAAAATCATCTGCCACACAGGCAGGGGGAGGGGTGGGATGGAGGGTATAGTGGGGTTCTTGGTGGTAGAACATGTGCACCAGTGAAGGGATGAGTGTTTGGTCATTGTATGATCAAGACTTAAACCTGAAAGCTTTGTAACTGTTTTCATGGTGATTCAATAAAAAAAATAAAAATAAAAAATAAAAACAGGAAGAACCACGAAAAAAAAAGAGAAAGAATGGGAAGGGTAAGATAAGAAAGTAACTTCAAGGGCCAGAGACTAGTAAGCAGGTAAAGTACTTGCCTATCACACAATCAAACCACTTTTGATCCCAAGCACCACATATGGTCTCCAGAGCACTGCCAGGATTGACTCCTGAGCACAGAGCCACGAGTCAGCCCTGAACACAGCTGAATGTGGCCCCAAAACAAAACAAAAAGATTATCTTCACAGAGGAGACATCTGACATAAGTACTTCAGCTAGCTAAACAGTTCATTAACACTATGTAAGCAACTTAAATCTGACACGGCAGCCTACATCAGATCAATTCCAACAGAGGGGCATTCCACAGCATACGTGACTGGTAGTCCTGAGACCCTAAAGATCATCCTAACAAGATGAGCCTTCGTGGATTCTGAGGAAATCATAACAAGATAAACCTTCATGGTTTCATCAGAACCTAGATCATCCTAATGAGGCCATAACAACTAAGATCTAGGAACAACAGCGAAAAAGGGATACTGAGGGGGGAAATAAGAAGATCTGAATGAAGAGGCACCAGAGAGATAATACAAGAGGTAAGGTACTGATCCTGTATGCAGCTGCTTATGCCAACTCAGTCCCTGGCACCACACATGGCACACTCGTCACCTGAACATCACCGCAGGTGACTCCTGAGCACAGAGGCAGGAATATTACCTGAGCACTACAAATTGTGGCCCAAAACCAAACACAGAGACAGAGAATCTGAATAAAGATTTTAGTAAATAATGCATAACATCGATTTATTAATTGAAATAAAGGTAGCAACGTGAGGTGAAGATGTTAATTAACAGGGAAATAAGATCTAAAGTATACTGGAATTTTCTGTATTGTCTTCATAATCTTTCCATAAATGCTCAAAAGAATTAAGTTTTTTTTTTAAATTCCATTAAAAAGAATCAACAGAACACTATAGCCAGTAAGGAAATTCCAAAAATATGTAGATTCTAGTAGACGATAAGGGAACTTTATATATTCATTTCAAAAGAATAGTCTGCTGAGTAAGTGATTCTGGAACTACTTAGATGTGCATGTGGAAATAAAATTAAAATTGCCATTTGTTTCAAGTACAAATAACAACTGGTTTACAATTCCAAATATTTTTTAAAGGTCAATTATTAGGAAGCAACTGCAGAGAATTTCTTTATGATCTTCAGTAGGTAGACAAGGTGTTATTAAGCAAAAGAGAGGAAAAGCATTAGCCATACAGAAAAAGTTTTCAATTTCTATTTTAGAATGATACCAATTGAGGTTGGAGCGATAGCACAGCGGGTAGGGTGCTTGCCTTGCACACGGCTGACCCAGATTCGATTCCCAGCATCCCATATGGTCTCCTGAGCACCGTCAGGAGTAACTCCTGAGTGCAGAGCCAGGAGTAACCCTTGTGCATCGCCAAGTGTGACCCAAGAAGCTAAAAAAAAAAGAATGAGACAAAAAGACAACCAATTAAAAGAAAGGGTATCCAATCACCCAATTATATGCAAAAAAAAAAAAATCTTCCTATGTATAAAAAATTGATGAACCAGTAAAAAATGGAGAAAGAATATGAATAGACAAATTACAATGAAATAGCCATTAAACAAACAGAAATATACTCTCCATTAGTAATGATCTATATCCCACACACTTAGGGATACCATGTGTTCCTCATTCAATGGTTAAAAATAAAATTATAAAAATTGGAAGTACTGACAGAATCTGTGATTAAAAAATTAAAATGAGGGGCTGAAGCAATAATACAGAGGTAGGGCATTTGCCTTGCATGCGGTCGACCCGGACTTGATTCCCAGCATCCCATATGGTCCCCTGAGCATCGCCAGGAGTAATTCCTGAGTGCAGAGCCAGGAATAACCCCTGTGCATCACCGGGTGTGATTCAAAAAGAAAAAAAATTTAAATGATATATTTGTTTATGCACATCTATATGTCAGCATTGAACAGACAGAAAATTCTTGAAGGATACTCATCAAACAAAGAAAATGTGGGAAGGGACTGGCAGATGACAAAGGTTTCTTTCCCTTTTGTCTAGGCATCTGGACAAGAATTTCTTTATGACTTGCTGAATGTGAAGTGCTTCTTAGTGAGATCAGCAGAGATGGAGGCAGATGCTTTAACCCTGTGTGACTCTGGGGCCACTGTTAACTGGGCACTGGGCACTGTCCTGCTGCCTGGGCATCTGTCCTTTGGCTCTGCTTGCTCTGATCCTGGAGACCTAAGACAGAACAGCGAGCCCACTGCTGGGCAGCACGGCTAATAGTGGACACTGGTACATTGCTTCCAGTCTGTGAGAAACTCAAAGGGAGAACCAACTAAAGGATCTGCCGCATTGGAAGCCCCCCTAAATGCATGAATCTTGGAAGCACATCTTCTTCGCTGCCTGACTCAAACCTCGGTGGCACAGACAAATCCAAAAGAATGAAATAAAAAGCCACAAAGCCAGGTGTGAGTTACAGGGATGTAAGCAAGCGGGCCAGCTTTGTGGGAAGAATTCCTTTCTCAAATTGAAATTGTACATAAGCTAGAGTCTGTGCCATTTTTCATGAACGACACCTAAACTACCTCTAAACTAGAAACACTCCCTTTTAATCTGTCCCTCAGATAAAAATCAGCAACAATAGTTCACATTCAATTTAAACGATGGCATTTTTGGTAACGAGCAAGGTAATAAAACTTATTCATTACATAACCAGAGTAAATTTATGGCTCAAATAAATTTTATCTATAATTTCCCAAACCACTATGGAAAGTTAAATCTTTCATTTTATATAGTACAATACAATGTGGGACTATATAAAAAATTGAAAAGAAAAAATTTCTTTCCAATGGAGCTAGTTCCTAAGTTAACATCCTGAGAAGAAGAGGAAGGAAGGAAGGAAGGAAGGAAGGAAGGAAGGAAGGAAGGAAGGAAGGAAGATTTGTATATAAGTTAAGAATCCTTGAAAGATCTGTATATAAGTTAACAATCCTTGATGGGAAAAGACAAAACTTGACAACATATAAGTATGAAAATGCTTGATATAGCAAAGAATGATATTTGCAAATGCAGTAAGTGAAAACGCCAATGTAACATAAGAATCATAATTATGGATCAGCCGTTTTAGTATTGCAGTAGCGCTAGGTATCCAGTCTGAGTGAGCTAACTGGGCCGCTTACAGAAGGGCAGAAACAATAATATTCAAAAGGGTCGGCTACTATTTCTTGTTTCTCTATGACACAGCTTCTTTTGAAAGGTCTTAAAATTGCATGGTCTACTGTTTTAATACAGTCCCATAAAGGGTCCCAGGATCAACATTTTTAACAAATTGTAATACTGAGGAACCCAAGAACAGGACTTTAAAAGGGCACTGACCCCTCACCCGTCCTCCTACAACAGGGAATTTCCCACATATATACAAACACACACACAGACACACACACACGCTTTACACCATCTCGATATCACTGAGTTGTACAACTTATGGAATTAAGTATGTCTGTCCAACTGCAACTTTAATGGCAGGTATCAAACTCAGGATAATCTTTACCTCTGGTGACAAGAAAAAAAATAACGAGCAAACTGAGCAGGGGACTGCAGGAGGGGGTTTTTTTTTGGGGGGGGGGGGGTTGGTAAATAAAAGGAAAGAGTAAGAGATCTGAAACAGAAACAGGGAAAAGTTTGTCTCATCAAATCTGAGGAAAGTGTAAGAAGCACACTATGGGATTTATGGATTTATGTGCTCCCCCCCCCCCCCCCACTTCAGGGTGTTTTTTGTTTTTGTTTGTTTTTTTTTTTACGATTGCTTTTAAAAAAGAAATTTAAAGTGTGTGGTTCTCTTCTTGAACAGATAGTACTAGGCTCAGCCCAAACGACCCTCACCTGGATGGAGAAAACAGCGGCCCGGAGCTGGGGGCTAACTCTGAACTTGGAAGGACACAACAGTTGGGTCCTCCAGCCCTGGAGCCAGCACCATACGGGAAAACAAGCAGATCCTGTCTGCCTTTGCCTGCAGCAAAGCCGCTTTTCACAGCAAACAAGAAGACCATAGTACTTGGAAGGAAAACTGCCACGCTTGGGCTCACATACCTGTGTCGCTCCCCGATCCGGTTGACAAAGCTGGCATGGTGCGGGCTGCAGGCGGGGACGCCACTCTCCAAACACCGGCCCGGGCAGCCGCAGGGAACTGCCCGCTCAAGGGTCAGCTGCCGCGCTGCCTACGGAGATTTATAAGTCGCACGGGCCGCTTCTGCAAAGACAAGGATCCTTTTAAAAATAATAATAATCAGGACTATTACTAAATTGCAACCTTCTGCGACTAAGTCACAATTCTAACTACCCACATGGATGGCAATTATCCGGACTTTATTTTACGAAGGATACACAAATATGAAGTGCGAGAGGTGTTTTGTTTTGTTTTTCCTTAAGATATAAGATTGACGTGCAATTTCTAATTAAAAATGGCAAAATTCTTCTTGCATGAATCAAGGCTTCCTTGGGGATTTCTGTAGTTGATCTAAAAGCTGTTGATTACATTGAGGTCGAACTTTTAAGGTATTTTTGTAAACCAATGGCATTCTAAAAGTCTGTTAAGATAACACCAAACTGTATTTCTGAAAAATAGAACAGAAACTCTCTAGAATGGTCAATCATTAATTGTAATCTTTTAAATAGCTCATCCTAATTTTAAAGCTGCCAGGTCACTAACTGAAATCTACAAATAAGTGATACTATGTGACATAGGCAAGTGTGTGAAACAGGGCAAGAAAATACTAAAAGGCTTTTCAATTCAAGGAGCTGAGATTATAAAATGAAAAAAAAAAAACAAAAGTAGCAAGATTCAAATTTATAACTGAAATCTATGAATAACCCTAAAAGAATCTGAGTGCTGAAGCAAGATATTATTAGAGACACAAGTGTTAATAATCTAAACTAAACCTGACAACCCAAGCTTAGACACAAAACTAAATTCTTTCAGTTAAAAAAATAAAAACTGTTTCGTTGAAACTGACAACATTTTCTAGATGTATCTTGGGAAATATCCATTTTCATTCAATAACTCATGTATATATGTTTATCCCAAAGTACACAGTAAAAGTACTACTGCATTATAGCTTGAGCAAGAGACCCGGAGCCTGATCTAATCTCTAATCCTTCAAGCTCTGTAACCTGGGATAAATTATTTTATCTTAGGAAACTTTACTCTTCCTTAAATGCTCAGGAGACAAGAACAATCCTGAATTGTTTGATAATTAAATACATTAAAGCATACTCTGCAGTGTGTGACACGGGGCAAGAAAATAATAAAGATGGCTTTTAAATTCGGGGAGTGAGATTATAAAACGAAAAAAACTAAAGTAGCAAGATTAAAATTTATATTGGCCTGACACCTAGAACGAGGCCATGTGGTTTAAATTTGGACCCGCAGCCTAATAACAGAAAATACACCTCTTGGAAATCAGGAGAACCAAACAATCTGCTTAAGTTTATCTTCTAATCCACCTTCCCCCTACTCTGAAATCAAATCTGGTCATTTAAAACCATATTTTAACATATATGCACAAGAAAAACAGAAACTGTAAATGTCTGAAAAACGGGATTCACTTTTTAATCCTTGAAGCCTTTACACCGCTGATTCATATTATAGAATAAAGAAAATGAGCTTGCCATTCTCAAACTGCAAAATCTGATTAAAGCCTTCTACATTCATTTTTTTCAACTATCAAAGTGAACACAGCATGAAAAAGAAGTCATCAAATAGTCTGTCTTAGCCCCAATTTAATTGCACAAAGTCTTCAGCTTTGCTTTATATCATTACAAAGACTGAGATGGTTAAAATACGTATGAAAACCATATTTTTAAATTTAAAATTGGATCCACTGCCTAATAAAAGAAAATACACATTTTGGAAATCAGTAGAATCAAACAATCTGCTTAGTTTATCTTCTAATACACCTCCTCCTACTCTAAAAATCAAATCCGGTCACTTAAAATCATATTTTAACATATATACACAAGAGAGGGGTGTTAATTAAGAATATAAGGGCAACTATTTAAAAAACAAAAACAAACACTATTCAGCTAAAAATAAAAAAGAGTACAAATACAAAGCAAGGTTTCATTCCTGCCCAACTTCGAAGCTATTATCCCTAATCATTTTTAAAAGCAACACTGCTTTCTTTGCATAAGTTATTCCGTCAGGATAAATTCAACTACATAGAAACATTCCTTAGTTCAAATGTGAAGAAAGTGAAAAACTGGCCAAATATAATTTAAAGAATGCATTCTAGGGCCAGAGAGACAGATCAACAAGCCGAGGACATGCTTTGCACGCAGGAGGTCCGGAGTTGGTTCCTGGCAATGAATGGTCCCAAGCAAAGAGTCAGGAATCAGGAATGGTCCCTAAGCACCACCCATTACAGTCTAAAACCAAAATTTAAAAAAAGAACATATTTTAATTTCTAGACTTTGGTTTTTCTGCTAATAAAAAGAAAAGTGATCAAAATGTATAAACTGCGTGCACATATACCTATACCATTAAGGCAAGTATATATTTCTATGGGCAGGTATTTATTATATATATATATATATATATATGAATGTACAGAAGTTAAATTCTTCATGCCACAAGAAGTTACCGTGTACAGTACAAGTTTTCTAACTATAGAAATGCATAACTATATCATGCGAACAGTCACTTTCACTGTTTCAGTTTATAAACCACATACTCATAAGCCAATGTGTGCTTACAAAAAAAAAATTCTATTAATGTTAAGTCACCTCTAACATTTTGCATCCAAACATCCCCATAAACTGATACAGCTACGTTATATACATGCTATATATGAAACGTCTTAGCATTTCTCCTTTTCGATTTCATGATGAATACTCAAGGTTAAATTTTTCCAGTGCTGAATTTTTAAGAGAAATATATGCAGCAAAGTAATTATCTCAGAACATATAACAGGCCTGTTAATAAAAAAAAAATTAATGGCTTGATAAAACCCAAACTAGTATAATGCTTAATACTTTGTAGAGCGAGGCAGAGTTACTAAATTTAACTTTGAAACTGAGTTAGAGTTTTGCTGTAATCATACTATTTTCTTTGGCTAAATTTATTGAAAATGCTTTGGAATTTGTCAGAACCCAGCCATAATTATTACTGACTGTTGTATGGAATCGATTTACTACAACACAAAAATACCAGCTGTTACAGTGTGTCCTGAGAGGGATTACCGAATATTCTTAAATTGAAGTTCAATCCATCTTTCCATAAAAAAGAGAGAGACCCAAACGCCAGGAACAGAACAGCGGTATCAAGTGTTTACAATACCCAATAGAACTATTACAACCCTTCTTTAAAAAGGCTTATTTTTGAAATTTCATTATTCCAGTTGTACCTTGCTTCTATATATCACACTATATCGGGTTCTCCTGGCATCTATCATGTGGAAACTGTGGAAATATGGGACGGGCTATATGAGCTTACAGTGTTGACTTTCTACTGGCCACGGCTAGCCCTTAGCCCCTGTGACACTCCTGACACCCAGTGGCCAAGCGGAGAAGTGCAAGAATTTAGAGGAGGTTTTTTTTACGGGACATTTTTTATGGGAGTTTTTTTGGGGGGAAGCAAAAACTGCCTCAACTGTACCCAGTGAAAAGTGCAAAAATGTCATTAGTCAATGCACCCAAACAAAAACACACTCCTACTGCATTTACTCTCAATGTTTCCCTACAAAAGTACTTTTGAAAGGGGAGGTGGCTTTCCAACACTGAGCAGTACCAGCTGGATGTCCTGGGTATGATTTCACTCAATTCCAACACAATCGACCTGGACAGCGTCCAGGGCTTAAGGCCTCTGTCCCACAAGACTGATCCTCCCTACTTGGGATGCCAATCACGAGTCCAGGCTGTCACCAGAACTGCTGATAATAAATTAGAGATCAGAGGTCTTAAACCCACGCTCCCCTCCTTGCGCTTGATGGCTTTGCTTTCAGAAGCTTACGGAACTCAGGAAAACATTTACTTGCTGGACTGTAGATTGATCGTAAAAGGCTGTAACTCAGGGCCAAAAGAAATGACAAATGGTAGTAAAGCACTTGCCTTGCGTGCAGCTGAACTCGTTCGATACCTGGCCCCATAAATGCTTCCTCACACACATATCCAGTACTACCAGGGGTCATTTCTTGAGAAGAGTCAGAAATAGCTCCTGAGTGGTGGGTGTACACCTCCTTTCTCCCCACTCCAGAAAAAGGGCTGGAATTTGGAAGGGTCAGATGAAAGAGACACACAGGGCAAGCTTTATGAGAAGAGTCAGAGAGCAGACCTTACACACCCGGTCCTGGTGCCATACTCTGCAGGTGACACTAACAAAGCTGAACAAAGCTGGGGAATACCATCAACATGAATTCCACTGCAGCTGAAAGAGACTTGCTGGGAGTGATAGTATAGTGGGGAAAGCATTTTTTTGCCTTGTACACAGTCGACCCAGGTCCGATCTCCAGCATCCCATATGGTCCCCAGAGCACTGCTAGGAGTAATTCCTGAGTGCAGAGAGCCAGGAGTAACCACTGAGCATTACCGGGTATGGCCCAAAAAGAAAAAAGGGGGAAAAAAAGACTGCCTTCTTACTAACTCCATGTTTTAGAAGTTCTGTGCCAGAAATGGAAGGGCAAGACCTAGTTGTTGTTTTAATTCACAACGTTTTACACACACACACACACACACACACACACACTCTAAAGAAAGCAAGTATGGACTTAATTTTCAACAACATGTGTCCTCTTTGGTGAAGAAGCATTCCAAAATATTTTAAGTCCACTTGTCATCATAAACAAATAATATTATTAACATTCCCTCAGATCAGGGAACATAACTGTGCTCAGTATCCAACTGTAGATTATTTCATCAGTTACATTTTCAAAATCTAATATAGCAGTAACACAAACCAGAGTAAACTTCCTTTTCACAAATCTGATACCAGATTGCAAGGTTTTAAACTCACTCTGAATGATTCATTGCTTAGGTGGGCCAACACAAGGAATAAATCAATATCTTTTTAACACTTATGCAAGTCTTCAAAAATTATAATTTTTAAGAAAACAAATGAGACAAAAAATAGCTAACTGGCATAAATATACTCATAGAAAAGGCCTTTAATAGCTTTTACACAAGCTATTCTCAGTATGGTCTACATTCCCACAGCCCTGCTCAACAACTCTTTCAGACGGTTCAAGAGTCAAATTATTT